TGATTTATGTGTTAATTACTTGAGCTCATAAACAGTATATGACTATGTTAATGCTATAAAAGGGTTGTTGATGCATGTTTTTTAAAAGGACATTTTGGTCCAAACCAGAAATGAAAAGTGTATTACAGTTATTTTAATGAACTGTTTTTTCACAATTGTTTTATTTATTTTTTATTTACTTCAGATATGCGTCAAGACAATGTGCTTGTATTTTCTTGCAGCAGAGAAACAGAGGTGATTCAGAACCTGAATATGCAGAATGCAACATGAGTGAGGCCGTAAAGGATGAGGCCGCATTTGAAGACAAGATGGTGGACACAATGGTGCTGGAGGATCCCCAGAACATGTACCAAGCTTTGGAAAAGTGAGTAAAACTTCAACAATCCGTTATGTCGGTTGTAGCTCCGGATAAAAACTCACCAGTGCTTTATGTTCGTTTTATAATGCGCCACCCAATCCAGTAATGATTATAAAATCAAATTCCCTTACAGTTAAATGTGTTTTTATTGTCATACATTTTATTTCCAAATTCCCCAAAGACAACAAATATTAGACATTTTTATAATACATCTCACTAAGAACGCACAAGCTTACCTTGCTTACTCTGCATTTCATCCCTTCAAGCCTCCAAATGTCCACCCTGCTGCACGCCACCAATAACCTGGAGGCCACGCGGATTCAGATCTACAGGGACGTGATGTCCTCCCTGCTGGGCAGCCTGCGTTCCCGGGGCCAGGCAAGTGCCCAGGCCCAGCAGAGGCTCCTTAGTGTGCTCCACGGACAGATGCTGGGCATGGAGGGTCGGCTGAAGGAGGAGCGAGGAGCCCGCATGGCTGCTCTGGCTGGCCGCTGCAACCAGGAGACTCGGGAAGAAATGGAAGCAGAGCACCGCACAGAAGCTGCTCAGAAGGCCCAGGCCGAGCTGCTGTGTCAACATGCCAACCAACAGGTAATCAAAAGTCAAATATTTGTTGCCGTTTTTCCTGTGCATCTGATATGATATGCTTATTGCAGTCCTTACATTCTATTAACTTCTATCTAATTTTGTTACCAGGAACTCCTCCACTGCAGTGTCCTCCTGGAGAAGCTGCACAAGCTGAGCCAGAGTCGGCTCCAGCGCATCCTGTTGGTCAGACATGAGGAAGCCTCAGGGAAGGTTCAGAGGCAGATTGTTGAGTGGCGTCGGGTGGAGTTGCACAAGATTTTCTCTGAAGAACTGGAAGAGGCGACAAGGATGGGCGAGCTGGAGAAGAGCGCAGCCAAGAGTCTGCAGCACGATTACTTTGCCTCTCAGGTAAGCAACCAAAACCTACTTCCAAAGTTGTGACACATTACACTTAAACATTTGCGTGACATCGTTATGCATGCTTCATTTGAGCTTTGTTGACGCCTGCAAACAGGGCCAACATAAAATATAACGGTGTTTGTCTATTATGTATTTACTCTATTCTTTTCTTCTACTTTTCAGCTGTCTGTATTTGTTATTATTGATATATGAAGTAAACATTTAAAAGACACTAGAAGACATGCCCTTCTTTCTTCTGACCAGGATCAGCTAGAGGAGGTGCTGGATGTGGTCCTCGCCAACCAGCGCTACGTGCTCGCTGAACGCCATGCACAGAGGAAGTTCTTGGTGCACAGCCTTCACAGCCTCAACAACCTGATTTCTGACAGCTTCTCCAGCACCTCCAGCAATCTGGACAGCTGGTTTACTCACATCAGAAGGTTGGAGCGTAATGGATTTACTAGTAAAAAACATCATGTGATGATTATTTCCTATTTAGATCACACTACACTACACTATAAATGTGGCTAAGCAAAATTATATTACAGTATAAATGTACATTTTAGTAGTGCTTCTATTTGTGATGTAAGAAAAGAAAATATTTTTGTGGTCTTTTACAGAAAATATTTTCATAAAGTGACCATTTCTTAGCAGTTCAATATTGTAGGCAGCTTCAAACTCGCATATTATGTTTTTTTTCAACCTGGCATGCTTTCATTTGTCCACCAGGGGAGGCAGTGTGCCTTCAGAGCAGCTGGACCAGCTGCAGGACAAGGCCCAGAAAGAGCTGGTAATGGTGAGGCAGAGACTGGAAGAGGCATTGAGCCAAGAGAGGAGAGCCATGCGCTGTGGACTGATAAAGAAGAGGCGGGAGCTCATCTCTGACTTGGTGAGGAGATCAAACATTTCTGGATATATATATGTATACATACATACATACATACATACATACATACATACATACATACATACATACACACATTTATATATTGACACCACAAAACCTGTTGATCTCATACCTTAACTATTATCCATCTGTAATCCATCTCCCTACCTTCTTCAGTTACGGGTCCACAAACAGAGACAGAAGGATCTGTCGGGTGTGTCCAAGGATCTGGAGGGAAGGCAAGATATAGCTCATCACCTGCACTGTTGGCAGAACTTCCTGACAGCTCACAGTTTGGAACTAGCAGAGCTTATCAACAACCTGGATGAGGAGGCTACTGCAGACATCCGCAAGGTGCCACTCTTGACATTACAGAATCGGGCAGACCTGTGACCCATTCGCTTTAAAAGATTTATTTAGTTTGATTATCCCTGTTCTATAGGTGACCATGCGTGTGATTCAAGCTGCCATAACAGAAATCAAAGCCATCCAACCATCTGCAGCTCAGGCCTTGCAAACATTCTTGCCTCCAGGGGCGCAACGTGCCGTGCCGCAGTTGGAACCACAGGCAGGACCTGGACAAGTCCAGGGACAAGGAGGGAGCACTCTCTTACAGGGCCAGGAAAGGCTGCACCAGGAAGGCAAGGCCGCCTTACACACGCTCAGCTGCACTAGAGCTGCTCTCAGGGAGGCCATGGAGAGAGAGCTGCAGGAGCAGAGAGAGCTCAGGGCGCATTGCAGAGCTTTCTTCAGGTCAGTGACACAACAACACTTGTCATTTTATTTCAGGAGATCCAAAGAAAAGTGTATTGTGTGTTCCTATTCGCATAGATTAGATTAAGACATGAGAAGGAATGAGCCTTTTCTGACTAATTTAGGACTGTGTTTTTACACCAGTTGATGCCAGATGTCGTTACTCTTTTCAGCAGCTATTAGATAGCAGAGTGTTTCTCAATAACCCCCCCCCCCCCGTCATCAAGCAATAATCACACCATCGCAAATTGATGTTATTCTCCTTTCAACACAGACATGTAAAGTGTCACGGGGGAACCCCGGTGTGTTCATCCGCCTGCCCTTTCTCTTCCTGTCTAGTTGTTTGTGTTCGTCCCAGCTGACTCTGTCTGAGGATGATCGGCTCCGGATGAAACTGGAGTTTCAGAAGTGTCTGTCTGTGATGGACCTGTGTCTGGTGCTGCCCCACGCTGTCTCCAGAACCAAACTCCACACCGCTCTGGCAGCTTGGAGGAAGGAGAGGGAGCAGCAGATGGTGAACACATACAACAAAAATTACCAAAACCAGTTGTTATGTTGTTAGGAATTGTAAAATAATTGAACTCTGTTTAAGAACAATGAATTGTAAAAGAATAGGGATTACAAAAGTGATCCAAACCACGTGTTATTGAATCAGTCTACCATATGCAGCATAAATCCCCCATTCCTAACTTCCACAGGTATTACATACCATAATCTCTTGTGGAAAGTAGATTTCCATGCTAATTTATTTTAATCTGGGCTAAAGGTTAGCAAAGAGATGGTACCTTCTTGTTTAAATCTCCCCATGATGCTATTACAGTTTAAAGCGAATCAGATCAACTAAAGCGGTATACAATGATGCATTTAATATTTTCTTCAATGAGTAAGAAAGAGAGAATGCTAACAGCCACATTGTGATCAGTCTCAAATGTGCCCATTGTTATTTAATTATAGAACAGGCCTCTAAAGAGTGTTCTCATTTTATTCACATCATAGCATCACTCTCTGAGTAATTTGGATACGTCTTTTTTTGGCAGACTTCTATATCTAAGGGGAAATCCAGCGAGGCCAGACAGAAAACAGACGCATCTGACCTGATACTTTTTAAGAAAAGGCTTGAAGATGGAGTCCAACTTTTTGAGAGGGAGAAGGAGATGGAGATGGCCGTCATGGACAAGGTAAGGCCGCAAAATTACCTTTTTGTATAAATTCTTTATAAGTGCATAAAGTTACTAAAAAAGCAAGAAAGGACTGGTGCATGCATTTATATTCTAACTTATCAAACGTTAACTCGGTAGCAGAAGCCATCTGCTACCGATCAAGCAAAACACTATCTGTGTTAAAGTTCAATGTCTAGATTGGGACTGAGTTCGTACCAAGTGACTGAGGTACATCCATCCTAATGTTGGCAGGTGATGGAGGAGATGCGTACGGAGAGGGAGAGTGATCTGCACGCTCAGGGCGACAGCCTGGCGATGCAGATGGCTACCATCCACTACCAGAAGGCAGAGAGGAGGACCAAAGTCTTGGAGACTTCCAGAGCAATGCTCGCCCTGACCAGCCTGCTCATTCAGCAGCTCAGAGAGAGAAAGAGCCTAGAGAGCCAAGACATGGCACAGAGTATACAGAACCATTGCTTGGTAGGCAGTGCTTTACTCGTATAGACATATAATACGGTTCAAATAAAATATTCTCATGTAATTTGAATCTCCCCACAGGGCCTAGATGAAGCCCAACAACAGCTCCAAAAGGAGAGGAGGGAGCTGGATGTGCTGCAAAGGTCTCGATCCAAAGTCGAGTCAAATCCAACACAGAGCGGGGACTCTGGGGACGTTGAGGAGGGAAGTGAACTGGAGAAACTGTTTCAGCTGCGGCCGGATTGCAGGATGACGTCCATCCTCCAGGAGGCACTCTACAAAAGGGACCAGGTCATCACACGGTTGGCCGAGAGGTGAGCCCTCTCAAATAGTTTTATCTTAAGGAGTATTTATTGACACAGGCCCGCCAAATTCTACAGTGTCGAAACTCTGTGGTGTTCTCAGGTTGGAGGAAATGACAAGCAACGACCAAGCCATGGAGGATTTAAAAGAGCAACTGGAGCTCAGGAGGCTTTATGCAAACTGTGACCAGGTTGGAATTTCTGGAACATTTTCTTCTTTCTTTTCTTTTCAATGTTATATTGAACACAATGTCATATAAACGGAATGGGAAAATACAGGGACAAGTAGAAGAAACGGTGTGTTGAAGCTGCCTCTGCGTTTCCTCACAGGATCTGGAGTTTGCATCTCGGTTGGTGAAGCAGAGTCAGGTGTCCGCTGAGGGTCTCCTGGAGGCCCTGCGTCTCCTCCTCCCCCCCCTGCCTGAAAGCGAACTCCTCTCCATCACCGACGCCCTCTGCCCCAAAGAGATCCTTGTTGCATCATCTGCAGAGCAGAAGCAATCCATGTAAGAGCCAGGTTCAGGATCGACATACTTAGAGTTTTATATTTTCAATTTGCACAGTATTGTGTCACATTAGGGGTGTTTTATCATGAGGCCAAACTTATTGCTAGTATAATATCATAAATGTATAGTTCTATTTGAGAGGATTATTTTCTGTTTCAATAAGCCCTGTGCAGCAGAAGGATTTCCCATCATCATATGCTCTTCCAACTTGCAAATAGAGCTTTGAGTTTGGTTGCCAACTGGTGCAGAGGCCAAACAAAACCCTTTGTTGCGCACTAGTGTAGTCCTTGTTGCTTTCCTTTCCTCAATCTTTTTAAGGGGGGGAAAAAACTGAACAGATTTAATATAAGGAAAACCTTTTAGCCCAAAGTACGCAGTTATGTGGTTTAAGAAAGTAGTTCTCTGAGTAAAGTCACTGATTTAATAAAAATCAGCATTTCAACACAGCTGGCCGAAACAAAAACATCTTTGATCATTATCTGAAATTGAAATACTGTTTGAGCACGATTCCACAAGGGTTGTTTTCCCCGAGCCACGACGGGTAGAATAAACAATTCTACTCATCATTTAATTTCCTGATACAATGGAACACTTAAGTTTGGTCCCCCCGCTGAGTTTGGATTAGTTCACTGAATAATGTGGCGTGCAGGAGGAAAGGAGCTGTCTGGCCAAAGTACAAGGAAATGAAAGTGCTCAGTTTGGAACAATATGCAAGACATGTGTTTTTCTTTTCTTTTTCGGCTCTTGTTTCTGCTTCTTGTTTGTAGGACAGAGTTTACCTGCTCTTTTATCTTACTAATGTGAGTTCATGTAAACCGTAAGATGTGAAACTCCAAGACATATTGACTGGATTTTTTATACAATACTGAAATTCTAAGATTAGATTCTTGATCAAAATTGCTTATCACCGTGTAGTTGACTGTAAACAGAAACTTTTATGTCCTGTGACCGACTGACAGAGGACAGTGGTTTAGTGGGCTTCCACAGCAGTTGAGACAACGATCCGATGAGCTGGTGTTGATACGTATGAAAGAACTATACCGAAACACAAGATACATTCAGACAGATTTGACTTCAGATTTTTTGGTCTGCGTTTAAATGTCTGGCATTTGTGTTTTGGATTTTTTTTTTTTACCATGTCTTGCTCATTTGGACCTTAAAGTAATACATAGTTGTAATTATTACAATAGGTACATTTTGAAGCAACTACACTTATATATTATAATAATAATTCACCTAAACAAAATGAGTCTTGTGTGGTTTTGTAGTTGTAATTATCCATAATGGATGGACCATTTTGAATTACACAAGACTAACACGATGTACCTTACTCAGTAAGAAATTCAAGATGTAATCTTTTACCTTAATAGACAACATCACAAAGCTCTCCCTCTGAACCGGTGAAAAGCCATCACAGTGTTTCAGTTCCCTGAACATGTTCTAATCAAAGCCAATCTTTGTCTGCAGAGGTCAAATCGCAGTTACCAGCTTCGTAATATGTTGCTAACTTTTTGACCAGGTGTGCCGGGGGGGTGAACAGACTTCTTCTTGTGAAACTGAGAGACGACGTGTTGCATAAAAATATGCCAAATATGCCAAGCTGCGCTGTGGAAAGCGGGAGGTGAGTGAAACACAGTTCTGTTTTTTCCTACTGGCTGCTACTTATGGACGTTATGCTACAACCAAGAGTTATTTGTAGTTCAGTTTTTTCATCATCCGAGTCAAGTCCTGAGCTATAGTGACTGCATGCATGTGGTCAGCAGTTTAACACTCCCACTCACAACAGCTCCTCTGTCCTCTAAATCTTACAGACTCCAGGAAAAGAGGCAAAGTTTTATGGAAAAACTGCTCCCCAGATCCCGTGACCTGCCTCCAAGAGATGTTGCACCACCGATGGTTGAAGAGAACGAGAGGGAGGCCGGTTTAGGGAAAGCACAACGGACTATTGATAAATCTGCCGTCACTGAAGACCCAGTTACACAGCAGCCGAAGCACCCTGCAAAAGAAAGTGTCGTGAACACAGTGAATGAAACATTACACAGCGCAGCAGAGGAAAACATGGTGCCCTCCTCTGCCAGCACCGCACGGGGCGTCGCTGCTACAGAAGAGAGGTTGTTTGTGTTCCGGCATCCACCTGAAGCATGCGGCAGTGCAGAGGCACCAAAAAGAAAAAGGAAAAAGAACTTTCTCAATCTGAAGAAAGGCTCAGTGGCTCCAACAAATCTACCTTGACATTTACAGACATTTGGTTTTTTTTGGAATGATACTATTACAGTAGTAGTACAGACGTAGTTGACAAACAGTTCATTGGTTTGAATGGAGTCCAGTTCAATCTCGTTGAAAATGTTAGCAATTTATCGATTGGGTTTTGGAGAAGAAGTTAAGCCCTTTCCTGTAGCATTAGTGTGCACTGCCTTAAAAATTATTATTACTAATGTATTGTGTACATTTATTTGCTGTGATGATTGCATATACCTCTAAATTCAAGATGCACAGTGACATTAGAAATGTAACCAGATTCCATTGTGATTCCATTCAAAAGTTTATATTAACTTTGTAAAATAAACATTGCTTTGTTCCCATTGATGAACCTCACAACTGCAAATCCAAACAATCGTTCATTAACAGCTGGTATCGATCAATTGTATTGATTTTAAGCCACGCAACCGGGTAAAAGGAGGACATCCGTGTTTGGAGCGCGTGAGAACACAGTTGGCTCTCAAAACACCACCTGAACCCAAATGTTTCCCTCTGCCTCGCTGCGCATTTCACGTCATCGTCCCCCCGGCCCCCTCCAACCCGCCCGCGAGTCCTCCTCTTCCCTACTTAAGCCCCCGTAGACGGATCAGCGGCGTTTCCCCGACATGAGGCCCGGACTCGCTTCCCTCGTGTGTTTCCTCGCCTTCGTGCGGCTGTCGGACTGCGCGCCGCCGACCTGCTACTCCAGAGCGCTCGGCCTGAGCGCAGAAATCATGTCCCTGCTGGATAAAATACACACGTACCACCGCACGGTAAGCGTGTGTGTGTGTGTGCGTGCGCGTGCGTGCGTGCGTGTGTGTGTGTGCGTGTGCGAACTGTGTTTGGAGCGGTACTCTGTGTAACGATCCTGTTTGTTGGTTTGCAGAAGACTTGCGCTGACATTCTACCCACGATCTTCCTTGATGTGCATGTAAGTTGCAAACACTCCAGATGCGGAAGGAGATGTTATTCAATGATTCTAGAATGTACCTCATTGTGGTGCTCAAAGCGCCAATTAATTGTTGAAGTCAACAATTAATGAGCCGGTTACTCGTAAAAAACGGACATTCTTCTACAGGTAACAGGACAAATATGTATCTCTGATCTTGGGGTGAAGTCACTTTTACAGTTAAGGGGGTTCATGTAACACCCAATCAACAAGTTGACCAATTACCAGTGACTCTTCAATGCAAAGGCAAACAAAACATTGCAGATCAACGTGTACTGTCAGACAAAGTTACTCTAGATTCCAAAAAGTGTAAATACCTCAGAATGTTCTTTTTAGAACTCGTGCGTCACAACCAAGCTGCGTGACATCCTGTACGTGGTCCTGAACCATCCCAACCAGTACTGCAGAGAGCGTCCCAGAATGCTGCTGCTGAAACGTAAAATGCAGAACCTCTACACCATCATCAACAAAATCTGTTATCGGGTAAGAGCAAATAGAAACTCCCCAGCTGTTTTTGAGCATAACATCCGTGTTTTTCAAGCTCCAGTGTCCTGACCGCGTGTCTTTGCCTCGTTTCCAGGACCTGGTGTTTTTCACAGATGACTGTGAGGCCATTGACACCGGACATGCCAGGCCCCACTATGCAGAAGACCGGCTTCAGCTCCTGCAGGAGGAGAGATGAGCAGCACACACTGCAGATGACGGGCCTACGTCGCCCTGTTACATTCAACAACACCGTGATTTGTTAGAATGGTCACGCATGTACACAACACAGCCCGCCCTGTATTACACGCATCACAAACGATACCCAGAGCGCCGCTTCTACCTAGTTGGCTCTTTGTCAGCTGCAGACCCGTGTTGGTGAACATATGTGGCTGCATTCCAGCCAGGAGTGCAGAACTTTCCACAGGAAATTTGCTGAATTTCAACCATGCCGATGAATACCTTGGAATAATAAAGCAATAAGAGATGCTTGTGAGCTGGGCTTAAGCGATGCTTACTTACCATGGCTGATTAAAGGTTGCTGTTTGATTAAAATAAATATGTTGCATTGCAGTAACCCTGACCTGGATGCCTTAAAGGAGCGTTTTGAAAACATTTGAAGAGCTGAACACACGAGTTAAAAAGGTTTGGTGGAGTGTGCTCTTTCACATTTGTGACACTTAAAAAGTTTCTGTTTCTTGCTTTTGTTTAATACATAACTTTCCAGCTGAAGCTGAACAAAAAGCTCTCAAAACAACTGGGTGAAAAACAGAGCAAATCTGACTGATCAATAACATCCCTGTTTTTATCTACACACATTATGTCTCACATGTATGTAATAAAAAATAACTATATGCATAAGCTCTTACTTTTTTTATTTTACTTGCTTAAATAAGTTCCTCAATGTCGGCCAGAAGATTCTGGGAAACACAAACTGTCCAGTCTGTGAATCAGCATGAGGTCCTTTTTTCTTTTCCTTTCTTCTCCTTTTCTATGTGGGAGGCTGTTTTCCAGAGGTGTCAAAAGTATTCACATTCATTATTCAATAGAAGTACATATACTAGGGTTTAAAAAGACTCCTGTAGAAGTTTAAGTACCAACTCAAGCTTTTTACTTAAGTAAAAGTATAAAAGTACTGTTTTCAAAACTACTTAAAGTATAAAAGTAAAAGTAATGTAAGAAAGTCCATTAAGGACAAACTGTTAATGCGTAACCTCGCTGACACAACACGTCAGTCCGTTACAATGTGATCAGAAGGTGCCTGCAGATCACGTGACCTGCCGTTGGGATGATGGAAACATGGCGACCTTCAGAGACACGACACCAAAACAACACGTGTATCTAACTTATACAGATAAAACCACAACCCATTTTTCCAGTGACACGAGTCACACACACACGTTGTTCGCATCGATTAGGTAGACTGCAGTGTCTCCCCCTGGTTTACTACGTCATGGGGGGGGGGTCGCACCCCGGTTTATAATGATGGGAAACACTGAACTGGCAGCGGTCGGTTATCAAAACATTGTCCAAATGACCAGAATGTTCAGGCTTTATGAACAAATACAGAATCCCTTTGTGTTCATTTCCAAAGCCGCATTAAGACACACATCACTTTATTTAATACGCTGCTTGCAAGTCGCTGTGTTGTGCCAGACTCTCAATAAAGCATTTAGGACAAACCCACGGTCATATACTCATCTAACGTCACATGGACTCTGCGTGAGGAAGAGGAGGAGGAAGAGGAGGAGGCTCCATGTCGATAAATACCAACTTTCCACCGACCACTTTTCCCACCCGGTGTCACTCCGATCTGCCGGCGCATCGCGGAGAAAACCAACCGGGTGTCTGGATGCTAAATGTTTATACTTCTCATCCAAACACAATCACATTCACTCTGTCCGGATAGCGCCATTTATCTGGAGAAGCCGGAAGTAACGATACTTATTTTTAAAATGTAAGGAGTAGAAGTAAAAGGTCATAAAAATAGGGTTAGTGTTATACCCAAAATTTCTACTTAATACAGTAACGAAGTATTTGTACTTCGTTACTTGACACCTGCTGTTTTCCACTCGGCCTGTAACAAGTACTGATGTAATTCATTAATATTGAGACAACATGAAGTTTTATCCACTGGATGAATATAGAATGCATTTCAAATAAGAAATGTTGAGGTCAGAGCACAAAAGCCCTTTCCCTCTGCAAAGCGAACTACACTGGTTGTTGTGTTTTCAAAATGTCATTTGACTGCAAGTGAAGTCAAAAGAAAAAACACACTCTTCACTCTCAAATAATGGTGCAGTTTCCGTTATTTACATGTTAGATTTGGGAGTAAATCCTTATCTCTAATTTCATTTAAAACCTCTACTGCCCTCTGGGGGCAGTCTCTCCGATCTGCATACAGAGGGGCAGTTGTGTAAACTATTTTATACACATATTCTAAGTATTCTGTGACTTTTTGGGCATTTTATCCCTTAAATGTGTGCTCTTCTCCAACACAAGCCAAGATGTTTTAGCCCATAGGTGCTGTCGTGCCTAATATAATCTAAAGCTAGATTTCATCTTTGAACACGTTTGATTTAATGAGAGAAATCATTTCACTCATTCAATTACCGTTTGTGTGTTTGAATGACTTGTCTTCAGATGACCTTTTCACAACATACACTTAATATCATTGATTGCCTTCTCAAGTAGTAGTAGACGGTGGTCTTTCCGATCGAGGCCATTCGCACACTTCGCTATGCTGATTGTGAGTCAGGGTCCCCATGCAACGGGCATCCATTTACTGATGGCAGTGCTGCAGGTTTGTCCAAAGAAATGCTTCATCAGTGGCTTCATTTTTCACAAGGTGGTGCTGGTTTCCGATTATCCGGTGACAATGATGTTCAGTCATTCTATGTCGCTAAAGTTTAAACTGTATACTTTCTCTCGCTTTGTTAGTTTCAGTGACAGTAATCATTACTATGTTTTAGATGTTATTTTAAAATAGAGATGTTACACTGACCTCAAAGTACAATCTACAGCTTTTAAGATAAAACGGTGCAAACTGTCAACAGCTGGGATGAACACTAAATAACAACGTTTCAGTCAAAGGACAAGACTAAATGTTATGTTAATAAGCATGTTGATTCAACATGATTTTTTTCATAATGTTGCAGAATATTAACCATGTGATTATTCGATAAATGTTTGGACTAAAATCAGTACTTTGCAGAAATAGTTTTATTCTTACAACACAGTAATGATTTACCAGCCTACAGTTTATTTTGACCCAATAAGCAAATAAATTGTTTCATCTGGTTGCACTTCTAAACTGTCAGCTTGGAACACTATTAACTAGCCCAACAAAAACAAAAGTGTAAGTCAGCAACATGTGCCTTGTTAAGAAATTATCTTAATTGCTGTGCTTATTGATCATCATTATAGAATCCATATTAATTTCTTTCATTGAGGGAAAACAAGAACAAAACCACAGGCGGCTGGATAATTTAACAATCTAATGCTGTGACACTCCACCAAAAATGCTGCACAATAAAATGTTTAAAACTTCGCCGACGGGTGACCGTAATCATTCTCTGCCTTGTTGCAATAAATGACCTTGTAAAGAACAGCTCCAAAGCCTAATTACATTAAAGCATTGCTGATGTAGTTTGTGATGCAGTTTTGTTTAGGGGGGTTTCAGGCCATTTTCCATTGCAATTTGAACTTTTATTGCATCTTAAAAGAAATGTTCCCTCATTAGTCAATACAAGAAATGTTACCCCCTCTTAATTTCCAATAGATGATTGGCACACTCCCCACACTTTTGCTGCAAAGTAACTTTGTTTAGAATTTAATACTCTCCCATATTTAGAACATGGCTGCTCTCTAGTGGACCCTGTGTGCCATTGAAACAGTAAATAAGCTGCTGAAGGAAACAGTGAGCCCATCTTTGTGAAACATTTCAAGACGTTGACCACAGTGTAACAATAAATGGGTTTATCTTTATTGCATACAGTGGACATATACAACCTTGACTATCAGCATGTTCAATATAAAGTCCCACGCAATAATGTATGTCTTGCCTTTTGTATTGACTTTTACTGTGTGCACGGTGACCTTATTTCCTCTTTTTAACAGGCCACTTCTAATGTTTGTCTTTCAATTGCTTACAAGAACATCTGGTTTTCTGCAAGATATTTTATTGGTCGTTCTGGGAAAGGCAGCCACGAGAAATTGGTGGTGATGTCTATCTTTGCTGTTAACTGAACATTGATTTATAACATTCTTGCAGCGTTGTCAATAATGAGAGCACGTGACGCACTTTTATTGGCAAGCGTGACTGTGCGTTCAAGTTTGTCTGCCTATAATTTAGATGTATGTATTTTTTATAATTGTATACAATACGTTTTTTTCCCCCTTTTCTCCATGAGGACATATTGTCATCAAGCAGCATGTAAATACGTGTACAGCATCTCATCATGATGAAGGCTGAATTGCGGCATAATCACATTATCTTCACGTTTTTTCCAAGCAGCGTTTTTTCTCATTTCTTTGCCGTGAATATTTTGTTTGTTTTGTTTGTTTGTTTGGCTCTCTAAAAAACGCGTGAAAACTCTGAATAAAAGGCTTCGAAAGTGCAGGCTTACTCAAATATCATTGTAAAATATATTCATTTATGTTGAGTTTGAAAAATATTTTTTTAGGGTCGATGTCAAGTGTTGAGGTGATATGTGTATTTCCAAATATTATACAGTTTTTTTAAACAAAAGAGCATTTTTTTGTGACTCCGAATTTGAACAGAAGGTGGTGGTGTGGTATCTGAAGGAAACACTATTGCTTTTATATGTCATGTACTTTGCCTTGAATCTATTATTAGGTTAATTTCATAACATTTTTTTATCCTATTATAAAATGTTGTATTTAGCAAAACTCTTTAATATTATGATTGAAACGACAGTAGCCAACCTCTCTAATGCACGAATAACCAGCACAACATAAGTATCAGTTACTGAAATCTATTTCACTATAAGTCTAAGGAATGTTCAGATAGTGTATTAGGTCATTGATGCTTCTTAGTGAAGAGACAAATGCCGTTTATTTATATTTAATTGGTGACGTCCTTGAATTAATTCCAGTATCAATTCAGAATAGGGCTATAGTAAAAAAAGCCCAGTTATATGGTTATATATTTGGCCACATTATCCGTGTTTTTGTCTGCTTGAATATTCTTTAATAAACAATGTGTTAAAGAATACACCGAAATAAACTTTTGGTGCACACTTTTTCACAAATTTATAGAAATTAATCTTGTAAAAAAATCAAAATATTTTCTGCTTGTCTTGGAGGAAAATCTGATAACGGTGAAGGTCTATTAAACACCCACGCAGTCCTCTCCCCGAGCTGTACGTGACTTCTAATAAACCATTTTCCCTTTTGTTGGGGATCAAGGAGTTCAACTGAAGAGTCAAATAGCGTCCTGTGATCTTTTGGATGACATAAACAAGTGCGTTTTGTTTTCTGCAGGGCTTCGGGCTGGATTAAGAGCCGTGGACAAAGGAATGAAAAGAGTTGAAATAATGGACGGATCCCCTTTGGCTCTTTTGTGTCAAGTTTCTCTTCCTTTTCAGATAGAGCGTCCATCCGTGTGATTTAAACCCATTGTCACGGATGTATGCATTAATTCATGCCCGGTGGAAATAACGCAGGGTAAGATTGGCTGGGGAAAATATAAAATACCAAATAAATGAAAAAAGATCACCCACTATAGGACTCAAATTAAAACTGTTAGGAAACATTGGATTTAAATGAACGTTATAGAGACAGAAGCTTGTCGGCTCTGGGGAGGAAATCACAGCACAGAGAACACAAGTGTTGCCCTTCCCAGTCCCCCGTTGACATTTTAGGAATGATGAAAGTTCCGCCTTGCCTGGAGCTACAGCCTCGCTGGAGCCGGCCCCCGTCTGCGGCAGATTGCCTTTGCTCATTACAGCAATTATTTTACTGCAACGTAACCCTTGCCCGAATGGCAGACAACTCAACAGAAAGCCTTTAAAACTGCGCAGGAGTGCTCTGTAATTGTCTCCCTATCGGAATGCCGTTTTGTCATTTAAGTCTTCCTGACGGCAGAAAATGAGCGCTCATCTAAAGGATGGTAATGTGTTTGTACACATGGGGTCTAACGCCCTGACTTCTCCACAATGGGGCGTCACCTGGCTCATTTTACACCCTAAACACTCCATAATGACACTCCGGTGGGTAGTTTACAAGCAATTTGAACCAGGGAAGCAATCTCCAATATTTATCGGTGTGTTTTGAAGTCCACGACTGGTTGCGCGACCCCCCCCCCCCTTCTCTCCACATCTCCACCCCCTGAATTCTTCTGGCGCCAACAAAATCTAGGTTAGTTGTCTCAAAGCAATAGGCAACAGCTGTAGCATTACATTCCTCCAAATGATATGTTAGCAGTTTAAATGTACGCTGCACAAAAGCAGCGAAGAAATGTGGACATTATATTGTCAATGTTGTTATGGCGTGGGTCAAAAAAAGCCTTCAGACCCCTCCATGGCATTCCTAAAAGCGTGATGTTGTGTACGCTGAAAAATGTAGCTATTTTCAATTTTTTTAAGATAGGACCAATAATCATAATCATTTCAACTTTTGCCCATGTACACTTCTTCAAAGGCGATAAATTCAACAAGCTGCAACTCCCCAAACAGGTATACAAACCTAGAAGTAAAAGTACAATTACATTATAAAAATTAAATAACTATTACCTGCAATGTCATATAGTAAAATAAAGTGTAAATTGAGTTTTTCCCTCTGCGTTTGTAAAAATGAAATAGGCACCATGCAAGTCAAAACTAACAACTGAGTAATGAAAAAGAATAAACAATTTATTGTTAAGTTATGTCACAAATATATTCATAATATAAATGAGGATATTCTTCAAATATACATTATTTTACAGTACACACATCCCTTTCGAAGGGAACCATTCCAACAACAGACAGTGCTGTTATATAAAAACAAATGCTGTGGTTCTCCAAATTCACAAAGAGCATTCATTGACACTGGACTCGGTAACCCACTATAGTTATCCATAATGCGAAAAACAAATTGACAGCCCAACGCAAGTTTGTTGGTGCAAAATGTGAAGCTACAAAATAGTGTGTGCCTCACGAAGAAGCTGGTTTATTGACCTGTTTACCTGACTGATGTGGGTGAAGGGGAAACTATCTTTGACAAACTGAGGCACTCATTGTGGTCCACTCGACCGTCCATACAAGTACTAAAATGTTTGCACCGCAAAAACCTCTACTTTAAAGTCATTAAGACTCATGGTCAGATCGTTTTCAATTAAATATGATTTATCTCTAAGCTCTAGATTTCCATTACAATTTAGTCCAGATTTTAAGACTCAATTAAAAATGACTAATAAAGTTGGATCATTTTGCAGTGTCTGAGCTTACTGGCGAGGTCAAGAGAAGTGAACAAGCTTCAAAGGAAGCGGCTGTTTGGAGGCCCGGGCCCCCTTTCGAGGTGTGTCACCCGCATGCCTTTTGATTTAGTGTGGCCTCACCTGTCCGGAGGGCCACCGTCGCTTGGGGCCCTCAGAAAGTAGTCTAACCCCCCCCCCCCTGTGTCCCACTGAACCCCTCGTCCTTCCGTCCGTGTCAAGCAAGGTGGTACATGCTGTATCCGACGTGCGCGGCGTACAGTCCCATGGGGGAAACCGGCAGCGAGTGCCTCTGAAACGGGTGCGACCCGTATGACGCGGGGACGTGCGCACCGAGAGGAAAGGAAATGCCGAAAGCCGGAGGCAGCATAGGCTTAGCTGCCATTTTCAGTTTTTCAAGTTCTGCCTCCTGCAGCCGCTTGGCTTTGGCTCTTCTGTTCTGAAACCAGATTTTGACTTGGGTCTCCGTCAAGTTGAGGGAGCTGGAGAACTCTGCGCGCTCGGCGATGGAAAGGTACTGCTTCTGGCGGAACTTCCTCTCCAGGGCCAGCAGCTGGGACGTCGTGAAAGGGGTCCGAGGCTTTCGGTTGGTCTTGTGTTTTCGTAGAGGACAAGCAGGAGGACTTAACCTTCCTGTAGGCGGACGAAACGCTTTAATTTTAACAGCCTGATCTGCGATGCACAATGTCAAAACAACACCAAGACGAATGCACCGAATATCATTGTATGTTTGTAACAACGCGTCGAATCAGAAATATATCATATTAAAACCCCAACTGGAGTACACAAATGAACACGTTTAGTATGTTTTAATAGGTTTTCTAGCTGGCACAAAACTTACGTGGAGGTGTAGGAGAAAAACGAGGACTCTGTAGCCAGGAAGTCCTCTCGTTACTGTCCGGGCTCTCGGGTTTAATCAACACATCTTCTGGCATGTTCATGAGGTCGCCCACTGAAAACGAGGAGCCCATCGATAAAGCAGGAACTGAAGTATCCAGACTACCGAAAGAGCCCATCCTTGCGCCCTTTCCCAGAGCATGGGACGTCCCGGGAATGGACGTGGCATCCGGGGATACCACCTCTCTGCTAGGTTTTCTATCCGCCATCAGTGCCTCCACGCTGAATGGCAAAATAGCGACTTTGGGCTTCACGGTCTCCTTAGCGGGGCTCAGACTGGTCTGCATCTCGTCTCTGCTGACGAGGACCGAACGCGGAGGAAGAGCTTCAGTTTTCAAACCAGCGGTCAAAGCTGACATGGCGATCGATGGGGCCATACAGGTCCGACCGGCGCGGGGAAAGTGACTTGTTGACTGTCGTGCGTACAGCAGAAGAACGGCACCGAAGTTACGCTACAGAAGTTATTGCGCGGCGCTCAAACGTGACAGTATCCTCATGTTTATGTGACCGGAATGGGGTGCAGGGCTGTAATAAGGCAGGCCACGGGAGCGGGTCAGCCAATCAGGAGCGAGATGGGCCGGTCCTTAGCTGAGGAGAAAAAAAATCTGCGTGGAGAAGTTAACAACAATTACTTTTTTTTTTTTAAATAAGCAACTTTAGATAGACATAAACACAACAAACTCTTAATGGGCCATGTTGCATTAAGACTACATCCAACAAAACTGACGTTATATCTATCCACATTACTGGTATTATGTTTATATTTATTATTGCTCATCTTGTGTATCCCATCTTTTAATAACTTCTATGCCAACAACTTAAATGAGGATTGGTCTTGGCCATGTGCTAACACTGGTAAAGAGTCTTCAGTGTTGCACAACAGTTTATTGCTTCCCCTTTGTGTGATGAACCTGCTATTTATGGGTGGCTGCGGGGCTCTAATCAGATTGAAACACACAGGCCTTCGTAGTCATTTAGGGATAATTATCGGGCTTGGGGGAGGGATCACGAGGATTTTCCCCCTTTGACTACATCCATTAAAGTCAAGAATTATGTGGAGTCGGGGGAAAGGGAGGGGGGGTGGAGCCAGGGAGGGATTTAACTGATTTACCTGCTATATACCTTTTCATTATTTTGGGTCACTAAAGGGGGTGTTTTTTTTTATTACCATTATATCTTGCAGGGGATATACCGCATGGATCTAAACGGGCTGTAGCTCGTCCATATAATATATAAGGGCGGCGTTGTCTGATTTCCTTTCAAAAAAAGCCCAGTTTAAAATTGGAAATTCACAAATCTTAGCGAGTATAAAGACAACACCTTTCTTTTGTCGCTGCGTAGTCGGTTCCTCGGGAAAGGGCCTGCGTTGCTAATTGCCAACCATGAACGATCTGTCACGATTTGTCAGTCTTCCTAATGGGCAGACAAGTTATGTTGTTTGTAGGCGCCAGCAGTCCTCGGATCAAAGCGCTCGACTCGAGGGAAACTATTGAAAAAGTTCAACCCCGCACGGAGAGCGCGGCACCGCCTCCTCCTCCTCGCCCTAGCCCAGGGACACTCGAGCCATTCAGCATGAAAAATTAGTTTTTTCCCAGCCGATCGCACGCCATTCCCATCCATTCAAATTAGCTCCTAAACCGGTGTATATGGCGGTGCTCCTCGAAAGAAAAGGTCAGCGCCCACTACTCTCGGAGAGGGTCTGACTGAAAGGGGCCGATTCCTCGGTGCGAGTGTTTCCCAAGATGCACATTGGACCGCAGACCCCCTTATGACGAGGCGGTTGTTGTTCGGGATTTGTGCAGCAGTATGCAAGGCGTTAAAACACAGCGGGGATTGTGAGACCTCAAACCAAATCATCCTCATAATCTATCCGTCACTGCGCCATCGTTTTACCAAGGGGGATTAAAATAAGCCTCTCCCGGACCACAGCACCGCCGACCTCAACCAATATGCCTCATAAAATGTTAACTTATGGACCGTAGTGCAGTCATGGCTGAAATACCGAATGTTTTTGCTTATTCGAACATTGCAATAGCATTCAAGGTGACACGGGGCTTTTACCTGTTGTGCATGCATGAGCGATAAAGACCACACGATAAGGTAAATCATTTGCTATTCGGCCTTTTTGTATGGTAATTTTAGGGGAAGTGGAATCAAATAAAAGAAATGGGTCTTTGAAGTCTCGTTGTTTCACCGATGGCGTTGGAAATAAAGTTGTAATTATTACACCGTATTGAACAACAGCTATAGAGTGTCTTTCCTTTGTCAGATGCATATTTAAATTACAGCCGCAGGCGCCCCCCCCCCCCCCCCCCCCCCAAAAAAAAAAGTTGTTTTGGTGTTTTACAACGCAATGGCTTTATTAGACCTTAACGCGCAGGGCTTAATTCATCGTTTCCCTCCGCAGCACATCCTGTGTCGTGCAGGTAAAACAGGGGCCTCGCCGCGCAGCTGCGTTGGATTTGGAAACACTTAAAGCGTCCAACGTGGAACGAGCCGCACTGCCGCCAAGGCTTTGAAGTCCCCGCCGTCTCCGGGCTCCCGCGTGCGTCTGTATTCCCCTCTGCTCGGGGCTCCGACACTTAACCCCCCCACACCCACCCGACAGCAACTCGTTGAACGAGACTGCGTTAACACAAAGAGGCACACGTGAGACGCATTAACGCCAGCCGTTCGTTAACGTGTGGCAACAACGCGTAGTTTTCCCGCTGAAGTGTAACCCGCAAATGTTTTGCGCAGTTCTTGCGGGCCGTTGTCGTATCGGTTATTTCCCACATGTTGGACACTTTTTTTTTCTGATTAGATCGTCAGTCCGAACAACATGCAAACATGATCACACGTGACACGATGAATAACCGGGTGGTTAATGTTAGTTGGCTTTAACACGTATTCTTTTCATCAGATGATTCTGATCTCGCCGGAAAGCGGATTTGATGAACATTTAAGCAGACTGCGGGCGTCCGTTGTTGCCGTTTATCCTTGTCTCCCGTTTATCTGGCCGGCGAGAGCAACGTCGGTGCTGTAAAACAATGTTAGTGGCAATTAGCATCCCAAACAGTGGCCTTTTGAGGAGACCGAGTGTCCACGGAGAAGACGATTACCATAACGCTTCATTTAAATCCCGAGGAAACAAATGAGGGCCAAGCTGAGGTACAAAACAACTGTAAGGCCTATCGGGCCTTTGTGTAACTTTATAAACTACTTTGATTCCCAGTCAAGGAGGCAGGGACTCCAGACAAAGAGCCATTGTTGCCCCCTCTCAAAGTTGTCTTAACCCCTTTCATGCGGGGTCTGTCTATTTAGACTGTAGAGACATAGAAGGGAGGGATGTCAAAAGGCATTTTCAGGCAACATATTTGCTCTTACATTACATTACATTTGCTCTTAAATTACTTTCTTCTGTGGGAAAATGACGCTCGTGTGAGTAGCATATATAACTCCTATATCACAATTAATTTTTAAAATGTTGGGAGACATTTCCTGAAGAAGCAAAGTTAATTTGAGTAAACGTGACATCAGAGTTAAATCTGTAATCGAGTGATTTTAAATTAATTTGATGCAACGTCATAGCAACTCGGAGAGATGACACAAAAAAGCCGGCGGTCGATTTCAAGTTCCCCATAATTATACATAATGTATCTTATTTCAATTAATTAGCGCATCAGGCACTTTGCTGCCGGTTAGTAACAATGCCTCACGGTCATTTACGCCTCGACATGAAATTCATGCATGTTGCTCACGGGCCTTCCTGCAGTGCTTCAGTCATTTTGGCAGGTGTGTGTGTCCGTAGTCATCACCAAGTCGGTTTATGTTTCCTCATTCCCACCACAGAGAAATGCACGTCAAACCATTTTTATAACAACTGCAGCCCGCCTTCAACATAGCAGATTAGGTTTGCATTTTATCGTTTTGTATCGACAACCGATGAAACATCCTGAAAATGAAATGAAAAAAAGTGTGGTACTTAAAATAAATAAATAATGACAACAACAATAACAACCATAAAACCCGGGCAGATAAATTGACAGCAAAACTTGAGCTTGAGTTTAAGTTGTTGAATAACAAAATAATATTGTTATTCATAATAAAAATATGACATTGAGTATTCAACTCAAATGCTGTAACACGTGCTATTATAATTTAGTCAAAACTGCTAAATGTTAGCTCATAAATAACGTGAATCCAAACAAACCATTTAACATGTACCAAATGGATGTTTAATAAAACTATTCAACACTACATTTATTTGTGCTTTAGAGAGAATTTATCACAGTTGAACCTAAAGCATTTTGTACAGTCCAACAGGACCCGGTGAACAGCAGGAAAAGAGCAGCACAGAGAAAACACAGACTGCCAATGTGAAGCCGCTCGAAGAAAGACAAGCAAACGCAGAAATAGATGTCTTTTTTTGGGGGTAAACTATTAACTCTTCAAGTCAATCAGATCCCCTGCTTAGTGAACTTCATCCCATTCATCTCCCTCACCTTTCCCCCGGCTGACAGGCAGAATGAATGCGTCCCACGGTGATGATAAAAACCCTCGTGCGGTTCAGGGGGGGGAAAGACGCTGTCGCCATCCTAGCGGGGGGAGAGGGGGGGGGGGGGGGGGGGGCATTTTGGTGGGGGCCCCCCCAAAAATTTCTTTGCGCGGGCCGCCTCCAAAAAAACCCCGAGAAAGGTGCTGGGGGTTTTAAAAAGTGTGGCAACAAATATCATGGCACTCTAAGGTATTCTTGCAGCTGCGGTTATTAAATGTCCTCTTTTATCTATCTTGTCTTGTCTAAGGTAAATTAAAATGTATATTTTCGGAATGTCAATGGACTGTCAAACAGTTCCAGTTTGCGGTATTTAAACACACACCCGTGGAAAAAATCAACGCTTGTTTAAATATAAAGGCACTAAATGAAAACCAGTTCGGTGTCACTGAAGAATATCAATGGAGGTGATCGAGGTACAGTGACAATATTACCATTGGATGAATGTCATCGGTGTGCTGTCATCATTTACTGACGAATACTTCTTCTAGTGGGTCACTGTGTCAGCATTTTCAACCTGCATACAAAATACCCTTTTTTGTATTTGGAAACTGCCTGATCAACATTCCCAATTATAGTGATGTGCATGGATGACTCAACGATTACTTACTTTGTTGTTTTACATTACTTATTTGTTGTTTCTTCATTTAAAAATGTAGAATGGATGTAGCCACTTTTGTGTCTAAAATTGCCGGGCCTATGTATTATTATTATTATTATTACAAACATTTGTCTTTTCAAATACAAATTACGAGGAACTTTTACGTAATTAGAAAGGCTAAAATCCTCATTTTTTGATTGGTTTGTCGAGAGGTTTTTGTATCATCTCTTTATATATTTAAAGTAGTCTGTAAATATATTTTCCCCTTCGTGATTCAGCCGCACACGGACACACACTCACACAAGTACGCGCAAATGCGCGCACGCGCGGTCACAGAGCCGCGGTGAGATTAGGATCACTATCCCTCACACCCTAACCTCTGC